TCACATGCCCAGGCCACTTGGGGAAGGGGACAAGGCAGGCTCCCACTCTGAGCAGACACGTTCAGATCTCTAAGAACCGTCAGGGTCATAGCTACTGTGGGGTTTTGGGGGCTCCGCCCCTTTCTTAGAGGCACAGCCCCACAATAATTTCTTCTGTAAATACTTTTTTCAATCATTTAAAAACATTTTTAAAGGCGTGTGCTCCTTTAAGCAGAGTGGGGTGCTGTACTTGACTAATTCCCGCACTGAGCAAGGGGGTTGGAGTAGGTGACCTCTAGGATCCCTTCTAACTTTATGTCAAGAAAGCAGTCTCCTTTAAGAGTGTTTTTCTGCCCAAGTGTTAGCTTTCTTGACTATAGAAGTCATCACCCCCACCTGCCAGCTTGTTATCAGAATTGTTGCTTAGGCTGGCAGAAGTGATTAACTTGCAGCAGCTGAGAACTGACAGCTTGCAGTTTAGAGATCTATCCTGGTAACAGCTTTCTATTGTCTAAGTGGCTTTTCTTTCTGCACTGAGAACTTCAGCCCCACCAGAGAAAAAATTGCCCCACAAACCGCAGAATCCTGGCAACGGGCCTGACCGTCTTTCTGCTTCAGAGTGCCTCTGAAGCACTGCACACTGCAATCGAACAGCTGTGCTTCCCGCCCTGGTCCAGGGGGTGGTTTTTTCCACTTTTCGATGGACCCAGAAGCTGCAAGAATCTCCCAATCTGAAGCACAAGACAAATCCCGCCTCTCTCCACCACATTCTCTGGGAAGAGACTTGGGAGAGGCGTAGGTTCTTTTAATTGAATTAAAGGTTTTAAAAAAAATTGCTCGCCTTGGAAGCATAGAAACTTTTTCTCAGTCTCCCTGATCCTCCATGTTTCTTGGTTAAGGGGAAAATGCTGTTCAAACAAATGACAAAGGTGATCTGACTCCAGTGGTAACAAGAGAAATAAATTTTACTTACAAAAATAAGAGTACATCTTACATAGAATCAGAGTTGGAAGGGGGTCCTATGGGCCATCTAGTCCAACCCCCTGCTCAATGCAGGATCAGCCTATCCTTGACAAGTGTTTGTCCAGCCACTGCTTAAAGACATGACATAGTTATGTAGAAACATTTAACTTATTGCAAACAGATTTAAATTTTTAAACAGATTAACGTGCTACAGCTCCAGGCCAGGGTAAGAGAGAAGAAGAGAGGTCCTATATAAGGTGGAACAGAAGATAAGCAAGGGCCAAAGAAGCTCGACATCTAAGCGATGAGAGGGTAGGGGCCAACTGCCCATTGTACCTGAGTGAGAGAATTCTCTCAACTCCTCCCATATCCTCTTGCATGCAGAGTTAACAATAGCCAACACTTTCTCCCCCACCCAGTACTGAGCCACTGACCCCTCAGACGTCTCTGCAGTGTGATGCTGGGGAAGGGAAGAATGCCTTCTTGCATGCCCATGTCGACGAGGGGACCCCGTCATATGCAGTAAAAAACAGTACCCTGGGATTGTCGGGAGGGAAGCAGTGGTAGCATGGGTGAAGCCTGCTGACGTATTGCTTCACCTTCCCTGTGCTGCTGCTCCCCATGCCAATGAGAGCAGCTCCAGGACATCTCTGGCTTTGAAGCGGAGGAGGAGAACGAAGGGGAAGACTCCGGGGCTTTGCCGGAGAGCCAGTGCTGCAAGTATCTGTGCATTCAAGAATTAACTCTCCCGCAACACGGCATCTGCGCCAGAGGGATCGGAGTGGCCGAGACGCCTGTAGACCCCAGCCAAGGTAGCGATGGGGCGGGAGGGGGGGTGAGGGGTAGAAACCAAAAGAGTGGTAGAAAGTGCCTTGATTCACCACAAACTTAATGATCATTTTATAATCGCTCTTCATTCATGCTTGATGTGTAGTGGTTAAGTGCACAGTGTAGTGGTCTCTAATCTGGGAGAACCGGGTGTGATTCCCCACTCCTCCACTTGCACCTGGCTGGATGACCTTGGGCAAGCCGTAGCTCTGATAAGAGCTGTTCTTGAAAAAAAGCAGTTGCTGTCAAGAGCTCTCTCATCCCCACCTACCTCACAAAGTGTCTGTTGTGGGGAGGGGAAGGAGAAGGAGTTTGTAAGCCACTCTGAGACACCTTTGGGTAGTGAAGGGCAGGGTATAAATCCAATCTCTTCTTCTTCTTCAGTTTGGTGTAGTGGTTAAGTGCGTGGTCTCTACTCTGGGAGAACCGGGTGTGATTCCCCACTCCTATAGGGTTGGCAAGGGGTGGTTTATCATTGCCTGCCTCTGCATAGCAATCATGGTATTCCTTGGAGGTCTCCCATCCAAATACTAGCCAGGGCCGACCCTGCTCACTTGTGAAATTGGATGAAATCGGGCTAGCCTGAGCTATTCAGTTCAGGCAGGAGTAACGCAGACAGAGAGAGGCACAAAGAATGCTATTTTTTTGTATGTCTGTTTCTTTTTCTCCCCAGAGAGTATGTGGTTCTTCCTCCCCCTCTCCTTCTTTACCCTCACAAAAGTCCAGTGTGGTGGATTGGCTTGGCCTAAAGTCACCCAGTGGACTTCCTGGCTGAAGCCAGGATCTGAACCCAGTTCTCTGCTGTCCTAGTCCAGTTCTCTGCTGTCCTCGAGAGCCAGTTTGGTGTAGTGGTAAATTGGTGGAAACCATTATTAAGGAAAGAATTAGTAGGCACATAGATGAACAAAACCTATTGAGGCAGACTCAACATGGGTTCTGTAAGGGAAGATCTTGTCTCACTAACCTGTTAATGTTCTTTGAGGGGGTGAACAAACATGTGGACAAGGGGGATCCAATAGATATTGTTTACCTTGACTTCCAGAAAGCTTTTGATAAAGTTCCTCATCAAAGGCTCATAAGTAAGCTCAAAAATCATGGGATAAAAGGACAAGTCCTTTTATGGATCAAAAACTGGCTAATTAATAGAAAACAGAGAGTGAGTATAAATGGGCAATTTTCCCAGTGGAGGGTGGTAAGCAGTGGGGTACCACAGGGATCAGTACTTGGTCCACTGCTTTTTAACTTGTTCATTAATGATTTGGAGTTGGGAGTAAGCAGTGAAGTGGCTAAATTTGCGGATGATACGAAGTTGTTCAGGGTGGTGAAAACCAGTGAGGATTGTGAGGCACTCCAAAGGGATCTGTCAAAGATGGGCAAGTGGGCGTCAACATGGCAAATGGGGTTCAATGTGGCCAAGTGCAAGGTGATGCACATTGGAGCCAAAAATCCTAAATATAAATACACATTGATGGGGTCTGAACTGGCAGAGACAGATCAAGAGAGAGATCTTGGAGTTGTAGTAGATAACTCACTGAAAATGTCGAGACAGTGTGTGACTGCAATAAAGAAGGCCAATGCTATGCTGGGGATTATTAGGAAGGGTATTGTAAACAGATCAGCCAATATCATAATGCCGCTATATAAATCAATGGTGCGACCTCATCTGGAATACTGTGTGCAATTCTGGTCACCACACCTTAAAAAGGATATTATAGCTTTGGAAAAAGTGCAGAAAAGAGCAACTCGAATGATAAAAGGGTTGGAACACTTTCCCTATGAGGAAAGGTTAAAGCGCTTAGGGCTCTTTAGCTTGGAGAAAAGACGACTGAGGGGGTGACACAGAGTGTTGGACTGGACGGGCCACTGACCTGATCCAACATGGCTTCTCTTATGTTCTTATGACTTTAGAGCAGGGTTCTTTTTTAAGAGTGGTGGAAACTGGGGAGGGAGAAAATCAAAGATAGCCAGTAGTGGGCTACATACATACTCCTTAGTCCAGAAACTGCCACATGACACGGATGGGTTACTGAAAAAAGCCCATCTTTACAGCAGAAATCACATTTCATTTCCATTCTCTTGAGTGGGAAATAATAGGAAACCTCCCAAAGACTTAAGAGTGACATGATAAGAGGTTTATAAGATTATGTGTGGGACAGAACAGGTAGAGAATGCTCCCACAATACTTGACTCACTGCTGCAGATGAGGTTGTTCTGTGCTGAAGCCACAATGGAATGGCTCTGCCCAGGGCTATTTTTGGGCAGGAACGCACAGGAACGGAGTTCCGGCTGGCTCCTGAGTTGGCCACACCCAGCAGGAACTCATTAGCATAATAGGCCACACCCAAAAGCAGAAACTCATTAGAATTGGCTACATTAGGGGTGCATGGCCTAACATGCAAAGGAGTTCCTGCTACAAAAAAAGCCCTGGGTTTTGACAACAAGGTAAACAGAATAAGAAGCAAAAGGTGGGTGTGGCTGGATGACCACACTTCTGGTAACATGGGGGTGTGGCCTAATATGTTAATGGACTGTGTTGTCAAGGGTGTGGCCTAATATGCTAATGGACTGTGTTGTCAAGGGTGTGGCCTAATATGCTAATGAGTTCCTGCTGGGCTTTTTCTACAAAAAAGCCCTGGCTCTACCCACTCACCCCCCCCCCAGCACTTCCTCCCTTGCATCAGTTGCTTGCGGGCTGCACAGGAGCCCTGGATGGGCCGGATCTGGCCCCCGGGCCTTATGTTTGACACCCCTGCCTTGAAGGATGTTTTCCCAGCTGAGCTGTGGTATAACAGACCAAAGCTTAGCTGGAAAGGGGGTGGTGGTGGTCTGAGCCATTAGGAGACATTGTGTTAATGTTTCTGTGCTGACCTGATGGAGATAAAGAGGAAAGGACCAGGTGGGGAACGCCACAACAGAGAGTTGCAAGTGGTTGCCATTCCCCCCTGCTTCTGTGGCCACACTGCCTTTGTTGCTCTGCCTCCTTCTTCCTCAGTTCCATTTGGATCAGGTCCTCTGTTTCAGTCTTGTCTCATGTGAAATGCACACTGTTTTTGTGGCTGCTCTAGAAACAATAATCACTGTAACACCCTAAATATATTTTAGGGCTAAATAACATGGTGTTTGAATGATAAGACACATGGCCCACTTTTCTTGCTTGATTCAGAAAACGGGAAGGTGGCTGTGGAGTTCGTCTCCCCCCAAGAGGACCTTGTAGACTGTTTAGCAGATGAAGAGCTCAAGGGGCTCCTCCAGGTGAGCTGAAGCACAGTCAGATGAATTCATGCATACTGGGGTCACTTCAGTCTAGCTTGCTCAGCTCTTTGACGGCTGGGTTTCATAAGAGAGAGCAAGAGTCCTGTACCACCTTTTCAAGCAACTTGGTTCCCAGTGGTGAACTATCTAGCAGAGGAAGAAGTGATTCCAAACAACTCTTATTACAAAGATCTGTTATATTTTTAAAAGGGCTCTTAAGGGTTCTTTTTTAAGAGTGGTGGAAACTGGGGAGGGAGAAAATCAAAGATAGCCAGTAGTGGGCTACATACTCCTTAGTCGAGAAACTGCCACATGACATGGATGGGTTACTCAAAAAAGCCCATCTTTACAGAAGAAATCACATTTCATTTCCATTCTCTTGAGTGGGAAAGAATAGGAAAACTCCCAGAGACTGAGGGGTGACATGATAGAGGTTTATAAGATTATGTGTGGGACAGAACAGGTAGAGAATGCTCCCACAATACTTGATTCACTGCTGCAGATGAGGTTGTTCTGTCCTGAAGCCACAATGGAATGGCTCTACCCCCACTCCCCCCCCCCCCAGCACTTCCTCCCTTGCATCAGTTGCTTGCGGGCTGCACAGGAGCCCTGGATGGGCCGGATCTGGCCCCCGGGCCTTATGTTTGACACCCCTGCTTTGAAGGATGTTTTCAGGATGTTTTGACACCCCTGCTTTGAAGGATGTTTGAAGGATGTATAACAGATCAAAGCTTAGCTGGAAAGGGGGGGGGTCTGGGCCATTAGGAGACATTGTGTTAGTGTTTCTGTGCTGACCTGATGGAGATAAAGAGGAAAGGACCAGGTGGGGAACGCCACAACAGAGAGTTGCAAGCGGTTGCCATTCCCCCCTGCTTCTGTGGCCACACTGCCTTTGTTGCTCTGCCTCCTTCTTCCTCAGTTCCATTTGGATCAGGTCCTCTGTTTCAGTCTTGTCTCATGTGAAATGCACACTGTTTTTGTGGCTGCTCTAGAAACAATAATCACTGTAACACCCTAAATATGTTTTAGGGCTAAATAACATGGTGTTTGAATGATAAGACACATGGCCCACTTTTCTTGCTTGATTCAGAAAACGGGAAGGTGGCTGTGGAGTTCGTCTCCCCCCAAGAGGACCTCGTAGACTGTTTAGCAGATGAAGAGCTCAAGGGGCTCCTCCAGGTGAGCTGAAGCACAGTCAGATGAATTCATGCATACTGGGGTCACTTCAGTCTAGCTTGCTCAGCTCTTTGACGGCTGGGTTTCATAAGAGAGAGCAAGAGTCCTGTACCACCTTTTCAAGCAACTTGGTTCCCAGTGGTGAACTATCTAGCAGAGATATATCTTTATTAAATTTTCCAAAACAAATACAAACATAAACACCCACCACCAACATACACCCACGCTATAACTCATTCTTTCCATGTCTTATTATTTAGTTAATTGTATGGTTTCTGCATTCTTTCCATTCTCATGCATACCATTCTCATGTATATATTAATAAATTAATAAATCCCATTACATATGCTCCCGGTCAACTTAAAATTCCTCTGCTTGTTTCCACTTAATTTGCTTAATTTGTACTGCTGGAATTTCTACACTGCAATCAGATTTCCACCTGTTATTTCTTAGAAATCCGTAGTGTCCTCCTACAATCAATTTAGTTATGGAGTTAATACATGCATTTATTATATAGATAATATATTAATACAAATAATATGTTTAGCCTATCTCATTCCCTCTCCAGTTTGCAATTTAAACAGGACAACAAGAGCTCACACTACTAGTAGCTACAATCAGAGCACAGTCGGATGAATTCATGCATACTGGGGTCGCTTCAGTCTAGCTTGCTCAGCTCTTGGACGGCTGGGTTTCATAAGAGAGAGCAAGAGTCTTGTACCACCTTAAAGACTAACAAAATATGTGGCAGGGGTAGGAGCTTTCGTGAGTCACTGCTCACTTTTTGGTGTAGTGGTTAAGTGCACAGACTCTAATCTGGGAGAACTGGGTTTTGATTCCCCACTCCTCCACTTGCACCTGGCTGGATGACCTTGGGAACAGTTTCTGTCAGAGCTCTCTCAGCCCCACCTACCTAACAGGGTGTCTGTTGTGGGGAGGGGAAGGGAAAGGCCTTTGTAAGCCGCTCTTTGTAAGGCTCCTTTGGGTAGTGACGGGCGGTGTATAAATCCAATCTCTTCTCTCTTTTTCTTCTTCTTCAGACACCTATTTCATAAGAGAGGGAGGAACAGTTCCTTCCTTCTCGTTAGAACTGGAGGTCATGTAATGAAACTGGTTGCCAGCTGATTCAGACTGAAAGTGGGCAGCTGTGTTAGTCTGCCAAAGAAGAACAAGGTCTCGGTCTAGTAGCACCATAAAGGCCGACATAGTATAAGCTTTTGAGGCGGGAATGTGGCATGGTATAGCCCAACCTTGTCAGATCTCAGAAGCTAAGCAGGGTTGGTACTTGGAAGGGAAGACCTCCAAGGAAAACTCTGCCGAGGAAAGTGATGGCAAACCAACTCTGCTTCTCACTTTGCCTTGGAGAAGCCCCTTGCTGGGGTCGCCATAAATCGGTGGCAACTTGACAACACTTTACACACACGCACATAAGGTTTTGAGAGTCAAAGCTCCCTTCGTCAGATATCTGAAGAATGAAAGCAGGCTGTGACGACCCCTTAACTGGGGAGGTCTGGTTTTACTTTAAAATGTTCTTTCTGTGTTGTTTTACTGGGTATTCCGGTTGCCACCAGGAAATTTAAGGCTTACCAAACCTCTATAATATAATATTTCTGTCACTGGGTAGGTAAGTCGAGCGTTTAGGCGTTCACGAGGGTCTATGTGTTTCCTGGGAAGAATTTCTTTCCGAACTGGTATCTTAAATAAAAGTAGATTTATTGATATTTCACACACTTTTCTCTCCCACTGTCAGGGATCTGGGCATGTAACTTTGTAACACTTTTTTCCCTTTAGGCCATATACGGTTACTGTTTCTTTATACTTCAACTTTTCATAACACACACAAGACTTCTCTCTCTCAGACCTTAAAACGAACAAACTGCTTAACTCTTTTACTACACAGAACCAAATTATCCCACACAGGGATGTGTCTCCTTCTCTCAGAGACAGAACTTAACTGACTCCACAACTGTCTTTTTCAACTGTCCCCACTCTGTCACTCTTGACAGACACAAATATCATCCACACAGCATCACTTCCAAAACCCCTCCCCCTCTCTTTCACTCACCAGTCACACTAGCCTATCACACAGTCCTACAACCAAACTTTTAAAGACACACACGCACAGTTAAACATGAAATCATTACACAGGCACTTCCTTTTCTCACAGTGGCTAATCCTAAGAAAGCTGTTCACACATACAACACGCCTTGTCCACTCACACAACGTTCCTACCATCCTCTACAAACCTCTCTTATTCAGGTTATGGGTTATATGTAGGTCAGGATGTCACACTTGCCACCCTTCTTGGCTCTTTTAAAATCTACAGAGTCATGACCATCTCAAACCCGGGTCCCCTCTCTCACTCCTAGAGACATCCACAGACAGGATAGCCTTGGCGCCCTTTATAATCAGCCCTCATTCACAGAGCTATTGGGGTTGGGGCTCAAACACTGTTCCAATCACTTGCTGTCACCATTCATTCATATGCTATAATGTATGTTATGTAGGCCAAGATATTAAATTGGGTGTGTGTGATTCTTTCCCTCAGACATGCAGCCCATAGGGTTAACCAAACAAGAAAGCTTTTATTTATGATATAAACAAAACAAGGAGGAAAGTTAAGTATAAGAAACAAAGCTTCACTTCCACTGAACTCTTGAAATGAGGTCATATTCCTATAATTGGGATCCTTTAGTTACAATTTCAGCCTTTTCCAAGCAGCTCTTCTATACATTTCTCCTCAGTCAGAAAAATCCTTTTCTCCTCAGCTCTTAATCTGTCAGCTTCTCAGCTACTAACCGCCGTCTTTTTTAAACTGCCGTTCCCAAGTCTCCTGCTCTCAACATTCCCTCAGCTCTCATTAGTTGCTTTTGGAGAGAGGTGGAACCTAGCCTGTCGGTCACAGCATAGATAATTATGGTAATAGAACCAGAATGGTGTATTTGGTAGAGTGTTGGACTAGGATCTTGGCAGACCCAGGTTCGAATCCCCAGTCTGTCATGGAATCTCGCTGGGTGACCTTGTGCCACTCACATACTGTCAGCCTAACTTAAGCTACCTCACAGGGATGTTGCAAGGGAAAAAAATGGAGAAGCGGAGAAT